ATCCGTTGCCGGACACGGAAAAAGACAAAAGACAAAAAATAATAATAATAATAACGCTATGAGCATTCTTGCATTTGGATGCTAGTGCATAGGATCATGACTTTCTCTAGGGGATATAAGAAGTTGTAGAATTACAGAGTCAGCAGACAGATACTTCTACCTTTAACAACAACAAAAAAAAAATGCCAGAATGTCTTCCAAAGTGTTGTACCAATTTTCTCTCCCACGGTCAGTGAATGAGAGCTCCTGCCACTACACATCCTTGCGTACACTTCATACTATCAAACTTCTTAAAAATGTTGCCATCCCGCTGGATGTAGAGTAGTATCTTAGTGTCACTGTTTGCTATATTTTCAGCAAATTGTGGAACGTGAACAGGAAATTGAAACCCTATGATCATTTCGGGGGAATTCACACAAAGGCTCTCTGCTGTCAGTGTGCGAGCGTTTCCTTTCTCCCCAGCAGGCCTCCAGCTCAGGGGGATGGGCGTGAGGATACAGGTCTCTTTCCTCTTCCAAGATTTGACTCACAATATTGCTTCTTCCCCCAACCCAGCTCCTGACGGGCCCCCCATGGATGTCACCTTGCAGCCAGTGACCTCACAGAGCATCCAAGTGACCTGGAAGGTAAGTGAGGTTGAAAGCATCTCCCTTGAAATGCTTTCTGGCCTCCTCCCTCCAGGAGTGAAGCCCCCAGGAGACTTTTCTCTGGTTTCTGACAACACCCATGCGTGTTTTCTCATAAAACCCACCGAGCTTTGAGGGCTGGAAGGAGAGGAGGGTAAGGGGCAGTTCCCCCTGCCCTTTGCACCCTTGCTGTCCAACGGAGGGCTGTGCCTGAGGTGGGATGGAGCACATGGCAGAGCCAACAAGGGAGGACGATGCTTCCACCACCCTGGCCCGTCCTCCAAACCCTATGGGTTGTAACAGGGTGGGAATTGGATTTCACTTTGTGCAAAGTTCCTCCTCTATAACGTTAGGATGAAAATAACTGCCCTCCTTGCCTCTGAGGGTGCAGGAGCTGCAGAGAAAAGAGACCAGTATGTGTTGCAGCCATTTCTAGGGGACAGAGATCTACAAGATCTAGGGGGTGGCTGCATTAGCTGTCATGGAAAATCTTAGAGGATATTCCACAGCTGGCCAGGGAAAGCTGACCTTGAGCAGGACCGAGAGATGCTTTCCTGGGTAGTTCCAGCCCTACCGCCCTCTCCCTCTGTGGGCACAGGAGTGCTGACGGTCCAGTGGCATCTGGTTACACTGCAGTCTCCAGTCTCCGGTGCTTTCTCTTGCACTGACTTATCTGACCCTCTCCCCTTGCCTGTGGGGTGGCCAGAGGAGGTATTTTATCCCCATCTCTCAGAGGAGGCCACGGGTGCAGAGACATGAGGTGACTTGCCTGAGACGGGTGTAGGACTTCACCACTCATAGTCTGGAGCCCTAGCCCAGCTTCCCACCACAGCCCACTGCGTGGAGTTCTGGAACAGCACTTCCTTAGGGCTGCCCACATTATTCTTGGAGGTTTCCCATCTCAGCAGAGGAGCCAGGGGATTGCCTCATCTTCATCAGAGATCTGTCATTTAAGTCATTCTCTGATTCTAACTCCCGATAGGAAAGGCCCAGGTGCTTTAGTCCTCTTGCTGGGCTCTTTAAAAAGGTAGACCTGGGCCGGCCCCGTGGCTCACTCAGGAGAGTGCGGTGCTGATAGCGCCGAGGCCGCGGGTTCGGATCCCATATAGCGATGGCCGGTGCACTCACTGGCTGAGCATGGTGTAAACTACACCAAGCCAAGGGTTATGATCCCCTTACCGGTCGGGAAAAAAATAAATAAATAAAAAATAAAGGTAGACTTGACAATGGGGAAGATTCAGAAGGGCCTACTGATATTTTCCCCAAGAAGACTACATGTGTGCATGCCCACGTGTGCATGTACATACACAGCAGCTGCTGCCTGGTTCCTCCCCTCCCTAGAGAAATGACCAGGAGGAAAGTGAGCCAGGGGCTGGGCAGTTGGTTCTTCCTGGGGGACAGCCCACCTAGTAAACACCTGGAGCCATAGTTCCCCTCCAGATTCAGGTCAGAGTTCCAGGGCTTTCCTCAGAAACAAGGGGTAAAGCCCGGAGTCCAGTGCTGAAGTCTTGTCTGTGTCCAAGATCTGGACCCATTTTCAAGGAATCCTCCAAGGACCTGGGAGAGCAGGGAATGAATAAGTATGTAAAATACTAAAATATTTGGCTACAAAGCTCTGACCTGGAGGTCGATAAAAATTTACAATCAGATTTATTTCTCCAAAGTCTCATAATGAAAAATAAAATTGATTAGAAAGTTAGAACTTCAGAATGAAGCAGCTGGTCAATAAATTTTGGGCTGAGTTCTCAGGGGATTTTTTTTTTAACACCGAGTAACAGATTAATGAAAAATAAAGATTCACTTGAAAGATAAGTCACTTCATTTTAAGACTCTTTCTGCGAGATGTATCGCCCCTGCTTTATGACATAAATTTGCAATCAGGCCTATTGATTTCTTAATACTTCAGAGAAATATTGTTAAGATTGATTTAAATCCTGAGTGTGTCTGTTTTGGGGGGTGGGAGGGAAATAGGGGAGGAGAAAGGGGGAGACAAAGGAGGAAACAGAAAAGAGAGAGAGGAAGGAGGGAGAAAGGATCTGTCAAGATTTGTATAAATATGTGAATATATATATGAATGTGGCAGGGTGTGCCTGGATACCTGTGCAAGGCCTTGACATGTGTTGTGGTTACGTGTACAGGTGTAGATCACGATATAGATAGCTCTGAGTTTGTAGCTTGTGTGTCACTGTATAATAATGTTCATATCAAAGTGTGTCAGTACGGATATGTGTACATGTAATATAAGTGTATGTCAGTATGAAAACAAGGGCAACAGGCTCTTGAAGATATGTTTACATCCGTAACAGATGTCTATGTGTGTGCGTATGTGTAGGCATACGTGTGCAGATACGAGACCCAAATGCAGAAATCTGCCCACTTAGACGAGCAAGCAGGACTGCCCAAGTGCAGAGAGAAACACTATTCAGGCAGTAACAAAAAGTCATGTCAATTAAACACACACATACCTACTTAGTGAGTTCAAAACAATTATGTTAAATTAAAAACTTCATTTTATTGAGTTAACAGTGAGCTTAAAAATGCAGTTCATTTAAAAACATTCATTGAATTAAGAAAAACTGGGACTGTTTTACTAACTTAATTGTTTTTTATCTCACTATTTTTTAGTACAATAAAAGGTGGGCTTTTAAATTAACTTCATTGTCTTTAAGCCTCGGATTCAAGCTGTTTTTATATGCACTGCCATGAATGTTCTGTCTCAATTTGTAGATGGGCAGGCCCAAGTCGTTAAGGAGCCTGCTTCTATTTGTGGGTCTAAGCGTACCTGGCCATAGGTAGGGGTGTGAATTAGGGTGTTTGTTTTGATGGATCTGGATGTGTGTGTTCCTGGTTGTGGATGTGAGCAGGCATGTCGGGATTATGTGACTACATGTGGTCTTGTGTGAGAATGTCATGTGTCGGTGTTTCTGGGTTGATGTTCTCTCTCTCAGGACATCCGTGTGTGCATGTCTGGCAGGGTGAGTATCAGGGTTCGAGCCTGGGGTAAGAGTATGTTTTCCAGCTCCAGAGTGATGCCAGCGTAATTTTCTCCATCTGTCTGCCCAACTGGAATCAGTCCTTCATTACCGCCAGCCTTCTTCAGACCCCCATGTCCTTGCCCTCTCTGCCCCCCATCTAGGGGCTGGCTTCAGGCCTCAGCCCCCATCACACCCCAGCCCCTGGCCGTGGTGTCTGGGTGAAAGTCAAGGACTCCCTTTTTTTTTTAGTTGTAGCAAAATACATGTAACATAAAATTTGCCACCTTAACCATGTCTATGTGCAGTTCAGTGGCAGTAAACACATTCACAATGTTGTACAAAAAAAAAAACCCACACAGCATTGTGCAACCATCACCACTAGCCACTTCCAGAACTTTTCATTATCCCAGTCTGAAATTCTGTACCCATTAAACATTAATTCCTGCACATCCCTTCCTCCCGGCCCCTTAACATCTCTGCTCTACTTTCTGTCTCTGTGAATTTGCCTGTTCTAGGTACCTCTTTAGTAGAATCATACAATACTTGTCCTTCTGTGACTGGTTTATTTCACTTAGCGTAATGTCTTCAAGCTTCACCCACGTGTAGCATGTGTCAATTTTATTCCTTTCATGGCTAAATAATATCCCATCGTGTGGATATTCCACATTTTGTTTATCTATTCATCTGATGCCAAATGATATACCTGTTCATTCATGCACCTTTTGGCTACCATGAATAATGCTGCTGTGAACATGGGTGTACAAGTATCTGTTTGAATCCCTGCTTTCCAAGCTTTGGGGTATATACTTAGGAGTGGAATTGCTGGATCACATGGTAATTCTGTGTTGCACTTTTTGAGGAAACTCCAATCTGTTTTCCACAGTGGCTGCACCATTTCACATTCCTACCAGCAGTACACGAGGGTTCCAATTCCTCCACATCCTCACCAACACTTATTTTCCTTTTTTTTTTTTTTTAATAATAGCCATTTTAAGGGACCGGCCCATGGCTCACTCGGGAGAGTGCGGTGCTGATAACACCAAGGCCACAGGTTCGGATCCCATATAGGGATGGCCGGTTCGCTCACTGCCTGAGCGTGGTGCTGACAACACCAAGTCAAGGGTTAGGATCCCCTTACCGGTCATCTTAAAAAAAAAAATAATAATAATAATAATAATAATAAAATAATAGCCATTTTAATGGGTATGAAGTGGTACCTTGGGACTCTTTCTTTTTATTCAGACTAATTGTTCACCTCCCTCACCATCACCAAATGATATCCCTGTTCATTCATTCAGTAAATATGTATTGAGGGCCTAGTATATGCCAGGCACCATTTAGACACTGAGAGCACAACAGTAAACAAAACACATACTCCTCATCTTCATGGCGCTTACGTTCTAACAGGGCAGGTGGTCAAATGCAGGAGTAAAATGTCAGCTGATGCTAAATGCTGTAGAGGGAAATTAAGGAGAAGAAAAAGCAGGCGTGCTGGACAGAGGCAGGGAGTAAGGAAAGTGTCATTGAGAAGAGGGCGTTTCAGCAAGGACATGACACAGGTGTGGCTGTCAGCCATGTGGCTGTGCAAGGACGCAGCATCCCTATGCCTGGCACAAACAGCAAGAGGCCAGCGTGGTGGGGCCTGGGAAGCGAGGGAGAGGAGCCGGGTCTGAGAGGTGATGGGTATCAGATCACGTAAGGCCATGTAGCCATTGTAAGGACTTTGGCTGTCACCCTGAGACGGGAGTCTTTGCAGGATTGAGAGCTGTGAGGAGACAGGATCTGACTTTGGTTTTGGTTTTAAGAGCATCATCTCAGAATGTCACTGTGTCTCTGTCCCTGTCCCTCTCTCCCATGCTCGCAGGCACCCAAGAAGGACCTGCAGAACGGTGTCATCCGTGGCTATCAGATCGGCTACAGGGAGAACAGCCCTGGCAGCAATGGGCAGTACAGCATCGTGGAGATGAAGGCCACCGGGGACAGTGAGGTCTACACTCTGGACAACCTCAAGAAGTTCGCCCAGTATGGGGTGGTGGTGCAGGCCTTCAACCGGGCTGGCACGGGGCCCTCCTCCAGCGAGATCAATGCCACCACCCTGGAGGACGGTGAGGCCACCAGCGGTGGGAAGGGGTGGAGCCCTCAGGCGTGGGCAGAGCCAGGGCTGCCAGGGCGGACGTGTGGGTCCTTCTGCCCACTCCCGGGCCCCAGCTCAGTCCTGTGGTCCGTGAGCCTCCCTGGACCCGCTCCACATCCTCTTGCCCATTGGCTCCCCAGGAGGTGCTCGCCCCGCTCAGCACCCGGGGCCTCCCAGGCCACTCGGCCAGCTCCGTCCATCCACCTGCGGAGGCTCTGCGCTCGGTCTGTCTGCCGGCTGCTGGCCTGTCTGCGCACGTGTATGTCCCCATCTCTCCATCCACGCTTCTCTTTCTGCCTTTTCTTCCTCCTTCCTGGCACCCCAGCCCATCTCTCTACCCAGGCTCTTTCCTCTACACCCTGGGTCCTGTTTCTCCTCCTTTACAGCTTCCTGGAAGAAGGGCATTTCTAAGCTGGAACCGATCCCTCATCTGTTTTAAGGACCTGAAATGTAACTGTGGAGTTAAGAAATCCCCACACCCCTGTGGTAGGATTTAGAGCCCAATTTTTAAAACAGTTCATGATGATTTGAGGGGAATCCACACTCTGATTAGTAAATTAAGGAGCCCAGTCTCTCCGTGGGCGAGGGTTAGGAGAAGCAGGAATGGGCCTGCGCTCCAAGCACAGAGAAGACACCAGCTGGTACCTGAGCCTGCACCAGGTTGAGAGAGGAGATGGCCCTTGGTGCTGGTCACAGCCCCCCAAGGAGCAGAACAAAGAAGCAGAGTATTCTTTGTCTTTTTTCTTGATGCCTCAACCCAAAACTAGGGTCTGAGATTAAAAGCTGTTGCTGAGTCTGAGCCTGCCCACTCCACCCCCAACAGAGGGGGGAGACCAACTGCCTGGAGCGCATAAAGCCATCGCCACACAGCCCATGAGGATACCAGGCGTTCCACCATTAGAGAGCCGTTCCTCTGGGTTAAGCATTGCCCTCTCCCTACGTCGTCCTTGCAGCACCCTTGGAGAGAGGACGCATTGGGTCAGAAACACCTGAGGGTAAATTAACTCATACCAGCGGTTCGTAACATCAGCTACAACCTGGAATTATCTGGAGAGCTTTCAAAATGCGGATGCCCAGGCTCCATCCCCAGAGATTCTAATTTATTGCCACGGGAGCACAATCTGGGCTTTGATAAGGCAAACTTTAGTAGCCCCAGAGCACAGGCACCTGAGAAAAAGAGAAGACACAAGAAAGGGGAACAGCATGTAGAGAGCAGAGAGGTACCGAGAAACCCGGGGGAGGGAGCTGCACTGCAGCCAGCCCCCCAGCCAGCCCCCCAGCCCACGACCCTCACTGTCCCTCCTGCCCCCCCCCAAGATGCTGGCCACAGGCCTGGCTGGGTTGAGGAAGAAGTAGCTGTAGTACTAATCCAAGCAGAACCCTAACACAGGGTTTCTCAGACCCGAGGGCACATCAGAATCCCCTGGAGGTCTGTAAACACAGATCGCTGGGCCCTAACCCCAAAGCTGCTGCTTCAGCGGGTCTGAAGTCGGGGCCAGGAGCTTTTATTCTGAATAAGTTTCCAGGTGATGCTGATGCTGCCGGTCTGGGGAGAACTTTGAGAACCGCAACACAGCAGCCATGTCGTTATCCGTAAAGGGAAGCCAGGGCGTGCCGGGGTTAAGGAACCTGTCCAGAATCACCTATCTAGTGAATAGCAGAGCCTGGATCACAATCCTGGCCCTGAATCCCACATTCTTTCTGCTCCACCCTGTTGGTCCCCTTCTGCTTGGGAGCAAGGCTGGGTGCAGACACAAGTGACGTGGGTGCAGACACAAGTGACGTGGGTGCAGGATGCTCTGGGAAGGAATGTCTAGGGGAGCAGCTGTCTCGAGTCCAGACCAGCCCACGCCTGTTGGTCCCCTTCTGCTTGGGAGCAAGGCTGGGTGCAGACACAAGTGACGTGGGTGCAGGAACAAGTGACGTGGGTGCAGGATGCTCTGGGAAGGAATGTCTAGGGGAGCAGCTGTCTCGAGTCCAGACCAGCCCACGCAGCCTAACGCTAAGCTCCCATCCACCCAGGGCTGTGCCAGGACACAGTCTCTGTCAGGACACCACATCCCTTGCCTTGTGGGGACCCCTGGGGCTTCCACCAGGGAGAGATCAGCATGGGCTGTGGAGTCATTTTCAAAACAAAGGAGAGGGGAAGAAAGTTTCCAGCAGCATTTGCTCAGCAGTTTTTCATACTTAATTAAGGCCCTCGTTAGCCTGTCAGATCCTGATCGTTTCCTGGCAATATTAGCACTCCTCCTGGGGTATTCAAGGGCCCCTGCTTTAGCGATAGTGTCTTTTCCATAATTATATTACCTTCATTTTGTTCGAACGGGCGATCTGTATTAGTTTATTACACTGGGTCCCTAATTACATGGTGCTTATATTTTTACACCTAAGTAATATGAAACAATAATCATTCTCAAAGAGGATCGTTAGGATGATGTATTATCATTTAAATGCTCATAAAAATTAGAGTTGCCTCTTGTGGGGCAATGGGATCTAATTACCTTTCATCCAGCCTGTGCCTCCTCTCTCCCACTCAGAGTGAAGCAGACTCAGGCTTTCCCTTTGTCCCTGGCTTCTTGGAAGCCAGCAGGAAGTGCCACCAAAACTGTCCCTAGCCAAGGTGGATCCTGGGGTCTGGTATTCCCCCCGTCTGTCATCTTAGAGAGGGCAGCTGCACACAGGCCAACCCAGGCTGATGGGACTGAGGTTAAATCAAAGGAAGCCCTCAGAGGGAATGGGCTCCAGGCGGGGTGGTCCACTTCAGTTGGTCTCAGAGAGTGTTTTCCCCTCATCTCAAACATTTGGGTATGTTCGTGTGCGGGGACAAAGGTGTAATGGTCCCAGAAGTCCTGAGGTCTCTATGGGAACCCTTCTCCCCTGCACCAGGCTTAGTTGAGATCCTCTCCCCTTCTTTGCCTTCCCTTCAGCTTGGCACAAGGACACAAGAGCCCTGGAGCCAGGCCTTGGCTCGGACACCCCAGTCAGATGACACTGAGGGGCTGGCAGCCATCAAATAGGATAAAAAATTATAGATCCCCCCAGGCCAACTTGGTGGTCTTCCCTGTTCTGTCATGTTCAGCAGAGGTGGACTCCCCTCGGCCGTGGTGGCCCACAGGCAGATTCGCAGGGGCTCGTGCTCAGACTCCATCACCTTCCTCCCAGGATTAAAGCAGAACTGGGAACGTGCTACCCAGAGAGCAAGGGCCAAGTCCGTGAAGATCTCTGTCCACCCCAGTCTCCAGAAAAGAGACCTAGGTGGCCTCCCAGCCCTGGCTCTCAGGACTTACTCGTCAGAGGTCCCCTCGCTTGTCTAACTGCACATTGCTCTGGTTGGGCAACAGGGCTCAGCCTGGGACACGTGTGTTGTATTGTCACTCACAGGGACTGAGAGGACCCTTTGTTCTCCCCCCACCCTATGCAGTGCCCAGCCAGCCCCCCGAGAACGTCCGGGCCCTGTCCATCACATCTGACGTGGCCGTCATCTCCTGGTCGGAGCCCCCGCGCAGCACCCTCAATGGTGTCCTCAAAGGCTATAGGGTCATCTTCTGGTCACTCTACGTTGATGGGGGTGAGTCTGCTGGGACTGGTGGCTGGGTCTCAGGGTGGGTCAGGGTGATAGGCACAAGGTCAGTGGGGGTCAGTTTCCAGGTTCAGTTGGAGCTGAGCATCTTCCAGCGGCACAGCAAGTGGAAAGTGCAGCCCCTCTTCTCCATGTGTGGGGGCCACAGGGGGTAACTGTCATAAGGGCCAAGGGAGAGTGAGGGAGGGGCTCAGATCCATGAGCACATGTCCACGTCAGCCTGGGGCCAGAGCCAGGGACAAGGGCAGGTACACATGGCCACCTCTCTGGTGAGGGGTGGGCAGGAGACACCTAGCAACTCGCAAACGAGTATGTTTGGGAATTATTTGGGGCACGATTTGGGGCATATTTGCTTTTCTACTGTAAGCTGTTGATATTAAGCCTTTATGGCTGCATCAGTCAGGGTCTCCATGGGGAACAGTTGGCATAATCAAATGGGGCAAATGAAGGGCTTACTGCAGGGGATCCTTCAGAGAAGTGGAGAGGGAGGTTGGGCACCTGAGACTAGCACCCTAGGGAGCCAACACCATGTAAGCCTGAAGGGGCAAGAGAGGAAATGGGGTTACCAGAACCCGGGAGATCCCCACCCCGACTCCCGGCCAGACCCAGCTGGAGCCAGGCACACAGCAAAGTGTGTGTTCTGTGCAGATGGGCTGCCCGGGGCCCGGAGAGGGCAGGGAAGAGCTCACAGTGGAGCTGGGGTAGGAATGGCAAAGGGAGAGAAGCCAGTACAGTGGCCCAGCATTTTGGGAGTCTTCCTTCCCCTGGATGCACTGGTGCAAACAGGTTTGTGTAGCCCCCACCAACACACCAAGCTCCTGCCCACTGGTGCACACTAAGACCTCCAAGTGACCAGGGGGCTAGTGGTCCATGTAAGCCAGAGGCCCAGCATTCCAGACTCTGGACGTGTCCTCCTGAAGGCCTCACACATCTGTCTCAGCCGACCGACCACACAGGGCTACAGTGGCTTTGCCTCCCAGCCCCTGCGCCCCCCTCCTCTTTCCAGAAGGACCTGGGAATTTAGCTCACAGTCGTCTGTCCAGAGCTGCTGCCAGCTGTGCCTTCCCCACCACATTCTGCTCTGCCCAGACACATCACCAGGAGGCAGTGCCTCTCCCCACCACCTTCACTGTCTACTACAAAAGCACAGAGGCCTCTAGCTCAGGGGGTTGGTCTCTGAAGCTCTCCCAAGTTCATTTGCTGTGAGATGCCAGCCACGCTGCTCAAGATGTAACCTCACTATACCCATGTTGGTGCTGAGCCAGCTAAGAGGTGGCTTCTCGTTTTCCAGAACTTGCTCCCTCCTTTCTAAGCCTGTGGGCTTCCCCAGCTCGGAAGGCATTGGCTTCACTAATCCCAGAGAGCACGTGGACTGTTAGCCACACTGCCCTCTTCCTGAGTCTTTCTCTGGCTCCCGTCCTGGAAGGGTCTACCCTGGTTTCTGATCCTCTGGGAAAGGAAAGCCCTGCTGCTCAGCCCTCTGAGATTCCCCCTCACCAACCTGGAGTACTCTTGTGCTGGGCATGGCGTTCTGACCCTCCAGACCCTGGCAGACTGCTACCCCCTACCGGGACAGCCCTCTGCCATGGGCCGTTTGTCTGCACCAGGTCATCAGCAAGGTGCTGGGGTGGGTTTGCAGGTGCTTATCTCCACAAGGCCTGTCCTCGGCCAGTGTCTGGGCCTATTGTTCTGCAAGCCCAGTAGTTGCAGTGGGAGGCTTAGGAGCCTGTCTCTTTTCCTCCTTCCACGACCCTGGCCTTCCCATGATCAGCAAGGTGCTGGGGTGGGTTTGCAGGTGCTTATCTCCACAAGGCCTGTCCTCGGCCAGTATCTGGGCCTATTGTTCTGCAAGCCCAGTAGTTGCAGTGGGAGGCTTAGGAGCCTGTCTCTTTTCCTCCTTCCACGACCCTGGCCTTCCCATGGGTAGGGTGGCTTGGAGGACTCTGGGGTCCTGCTGTGGGGAGAACACAGCTTCTCATAGGTTGTGGTGAAATGCTCTAGGATGCATGCACAGACGTAAAAGCAACTGCAACCCTTCCTGTCCCCACCCACACCCACACACACACCGGCCCTCTGCAGCACTGAGTCAGAAACCAGTAAACCCTCTCCTCCCAGCCCTGCCCCAAGGGCATCCTTTTGGGCCATCTGCTCCTCTGCGAGGTTCAGCCTGCCTTTCTCCAGATACAGATATTGGGGTTGGGAGAGCAGGAGCATCACCCAGCCCATCCTGGCCTAGGGATTTGGTGGTCACCCCACAGAGGCTCCGGCACAGTCCAGGCCCTGGACCCTCAAGGAGAGGAATGGGATGGCCTTCCTTTGGAACTAGGATTTCATAGCCCTTCCTCACAGGTCAGAAGTGGAGGAAAACCAGAGATAGGGCCAAACTAAAGGATAGAGTGACAAATTAAGAGCGGGGGTGGGGGGATCTGGGAGCTGAGTCAACCCAGGAAGGAACGGGAGGGAAGAAAGACCAGATTTCCGGTGGAGGCCCAGAGCTGCACTACTGCAGGGGGCACCAGCTGTATAGAACGCCTGTCCAGGAGGTGCCGTGTGCGACCGGCACACAGCTATGGTCTCCTGCTCCCAGGCCTCCACTTTCCTCCCTACCCTGCCCCAACCCCATCACTAAGTTGTTCCGAGCTGGTTGATGTGAACAGTGGGGAGCACATAATGGACACGTAAATGGCAGCCATCACTGGTGTTATAGCTTCCTTCCCACTCAGCCTCAGTTTTCTCAAGGGATATGGAGACCCAGAGTCTAGGTCCTACCCATACAATGTGGCAGAAGGTGCTGGAAGGTTAGAGGTGTTGAAAAGGCTGGCAGTGATGGGGGAGAAGTTGCCAGCACAGCCCAACCCTTGAGGACTGGACCAGCTCCCAGCTCAGCTTAATCTCCTCTCTCTCCCTAAGCCCCTTCCTCTCCACCAGCCCCGCTTTCCTCTTAAGCTCTGAGCAATTCAATATTTACCAACCTGCCTGCCCTACTTTTCCTGTCATTAATCCCCCCATCAAGCCCTCCTGGGACAGCTCCAGACAGAGCCACCTGCTTTTGCTTAAAGATTGAGCTGAGATGGCACCCAAAGCCTGGTCCCATCTGAGGCCTCAGGGCTGCGTACACATGGGCACTTTCCCTACCTCTGCCCATCAAGCCCTCCTGGGACAGCTCCAGACAGAGCCACCTGCTTTTGCTTAAAGATTGAGCAGAGATGGCACCCAAAGCCTGGTCCCATCTGAGGCCTCAGGGCTGCATACACATGGGCACTTTCCCTACCTCTAGAAGTGAACCACGAGGACCCCTAGACTTCTTCTTCCATCTTATTCTTGCAAAGCCTGAGCCATAAGCACCTCCACCTGTCTAACTGACCAAGGGGAGGCGCCATGAGGGAACCTGGAGGTCTGGGAGCATCACTCCTCCCCGCAAGGAGCCCTCAGCCCTCCACCCCAGAGCCGCTTACAGACCACACATGGGAACACACACAACAGAAGCCAAGGCCCAGTCCCCTGACCTTCAGCTTCACAACATGGAAAGGGCACTGGCAAATATGGCAGAAGTGCATGCCCCAGCCCCTGTTATTTATTGGCAAGTCACTGACTCTTTCTGAACCTCAGTTTCCCCAGGATAAAATGGGGAGAGTGATGCCTCGACAAGTTCTTGTAAGAAGCAAGAGAACTCTAAAACCCTTCCTCAAATGTCAAGTACTAGCACATGGCAGTTGCTTTATGGCTACCAAGATGCTGGCAATGAAATGACTGCTTCCGGGGAGGGAATCAGTGTCTCCAAGGGGAAGCTTAGGCCAGAAAGCACCTAGTGTCAGGGGCAGTCTCATCCAGAACAGCAGGCCTAACCGGGCATGCATGTGATGTGCTGTTACAGCGTGATTCACCCGCCCCATAGCCTAACAACCTCATGAGGTAGGTATTATTCCCATTTTACAGGTGAGAAAACTGTGACCCAGAAAGCTAAGGTGACTTCCTGAATGCCACTCAGCTAACAGGTGGCAAATCCAGGCTTTCTAGTCTCCATTTCCTCTATTCCTCCCATCATGCTACTTGTATCTGTTAGGAAGCTTTCGGGTGTGAGTAAGAGAAATCCCACCTAAAGAAAATTTCAGCAATAAGCCCATTTATCACCCATAACAAGAAGTCCTGAGTAGGGCAGCTCCAGGGTTGGTTGAATCTGTGGTCCCCATTTTTCTGCTCTGCCATCCCAGCATGTCAGCTGCTCCTCCCAGGATTTTGAGATGGCTGCAGCCCCAGGCTTCACACCAGACAAGACAGAGTTCAGAGTGAGAAGTCAGTCTCTTCCTGTGGGCATGCCTCCCTTGGGAGAGAAAGAAACCTTTCCCCAAAACCCCCTCAACAGATTTCTCCTCATTTACCTCTAGCCAGAAGGGGGCCACACGCCTCCTGCTAAGTTAGTTACCAAAAAGGAAATGGAATGATCATGGCCAGCCTACCCCAACCACGATACACCCTCTGGTGTGGGTGATAGACACGGCTGTCTCTGAAGTGTGGAGGAGTGTGGGTGCCTAAGCAGAAGTGAGGAGGTGGTAGGACTAGCAGTGGGTGGGCACCACTCTCCCTGCCTACCACAGCCGCCCGGCTCCACTGGGCTCTCTCAGTTGTAGGTGGAAATTGTTACAGTTGTTACTCAGTTGGTGTGGAAAGCAGACAAGTCCGCATTCCAATTCCAGCCCTGCTTTGGGACCGTGGGTAAATATCCAAATCTGAAGATACTATGACCCATCCACTCACCCCACCCTCAGAATTTCACATTTTCCAAAGAAAAAAGATAACCAGGAAATTTAGAGAAAAGCAAAAGAAAAAGTCAAAATGCAAACATATAAATTCTAGTTTGTTTACTAAATCCAGATCTCTTAGTCTGGGCTTGGTTTCTGGCTGACTTGGCTAACTAAGTTTATGAGCTACCAAGTCTCTTGTCTGTTCTTCACCTCCCCTTGCCACATGGCCTCCAAGTGCAAAGTTGAGTTGGACTTTTTTACCACTTTAAAGGCCTTTACCTGGGAAGAAGCATGATTAGATCCATGTTTTAGGAAGGTAAGTCCTGCAGATCACAGGCAGGGGATGGGAGATCAGTGTCAGAGAAACCCGTTGGAACCCGTCAAGGCAGGTATGTGGAAGTTATGTACTGGGGCAGCAGCAGTGAGAATGAAGGGGAAGAGACAAATTTAAAAAGACATATCAGAGGAGTTCCATCTCCAGTAATGGCAGACTAGGTGACTGAAACCCACTCTCTTTCTTGCTGAGGACAGCTGGGAAATCTGGATAAACTATTCTTTTAAGTGCCTGCTTGAAGGCATCAGAGAGCTGGCAGGACAGTAAAGAATCAGTGGGCCAGGGTTCAAGGGAAAACAGAGGCCCCATAGATGAGCCTGGCATTTGGAACAGCTCTCTCACCTGGGGGACATTTGCTGAATCTGGAGACAGGGGCTAAGAAGGTCAGTTGCACTAGAAAGACATTGATTGGAGATCAGGACCTTCTGGGGTACAGGAGTCTATCTGGTGGATCCCCCCTCACTTTGAATTGAGACCATGAAGAACAGCACTCTAGGTATGAAAGTGAACCAAAGTAAACAGCTCACCTTCAGATCATCTCTGTCCTGGAAATTGGATTGAAGCGACTTCAGGTTGCTAATCCCCAGATTGCTGGTGCTTGTCAGAAGCAAACAAGAATTCTCTCTTTAGGAAGATAACATCATCTGATGCCTCAAATTATTTCCACAAACAATTTTTCAAATGCTGTGTGTGACATACAATAAAAAAATATTTGGACAACATTTTAAAAAGCCAGCAGAAAAAAAAAAAAAAAAAGACAAGAGAGACAGACTCACAAGGGTTTCAGACTTGGGTTTTCTCAAACATGGACTTAAAATAACTATGCTTGACAAGATTGAAAATTTCAGAGAATTGGAAACTATCAAATGGAAAGTCCAGAAACAAAAACCACCAATACCTGAAATTAAAAGCTCAGTATATGGATTTAATAACATATTAGACACAGTTGAAAAAATAACTAGTGAATTGGAAAATAGGTCAGAAGAAAACATTCAAATAAAGCACAGAAAGACAAATGGATAGAAAATTTAAAAGAGCAGTTAAGAGACATAGAAAAGTGATTCTTAAACTTTAACATGCATACAAATCACTTGGGGATCATGTTAAAATTCAGATTCTGATTTAGTAGATCTAGGGTGGAACCTGAGATTTTGCATTTCTAACATGCTCCCAGGTGATGCTGCTGCTGATCCATGGACCACATTCTGACAATCAGGACACAGAAGATGCAATGAGAAGAAATCCCAAAGAAGAGGAGAAAGAGAATGGGGCAGAAGACAAAATGTCTGAAAATGTTTAAAATTGATGAAGAATATCAAGCCACAAATTCAAGAAGCTCTACAAACTTCACAGATAACAAATTAAAGAAATCTACACCTTTGCACATCATAATAAAGCTGTAGAAAAAAAAAGTGAGAAATCTTAAAAACAACCAGAGGAAAAAAAACTGATTACTTCAACAGAGCAACAATAAGATTTCCAGCTAACTTGTCAGAAACAATGGAAGTCAAAAAACAATGCAATAGTATATTTAAAGTATGTAAGGGAAATAGTTTTCAATCTGTGATATACCTACCAAAAACAAGTAACTACTAATAGTAGTGAAAGACTTTAATAGTCAAGCTAATAGAGGGAAGAAAATAGAGAATCTTTTTAAATACTCAATTCAAAAAGAAGGTGAAAAAAGAAAGAAAAAGAAAAAGAAAATAGGTGGGACAAATAGAAAGTATTTATTATGACAGTATATTTAAATCCAAATGTAGTAGTAATTATAGTAAATATATATTGACTAAATTCTCCAATTATAAGATAAATACTGTTAAACTGGCTAGCAAAAACCAAAGCCAAATATGTGCTATTTATAGGAGACATCTAAAACATCGGGTATAGAAAGGTTCAACATGAAAGGATAGAAAAAGATGAAAGCTACACTGTCTAAAAGAAAACTGGAATACTGATATCAGACATAATATACTTTAAGGTAAAAACTATTTTTAAAGATAAACATGGACACTTTGTTGTGATAAAAGACTCAATTTACTAGGCAAATAAAACCCAAAATTTGTATGCACCTAATAACATAACCTCAAAATACATAAAAACAAAAATCAATGAACTACTAGGAGAAATAGACAAATCCGTAATCATAGTGGGAGATTTTTTTTTTCCTCGTCTTTTTCGTGACTGGTAAGGGGATCACAACCCTTGGTGTGGTGTCGCCCACACTGCACTCAGCCAGTGAGGGCACCGGCCATTCCTATATAGGATCTGAACCCGCAGCGGGAGCATCACTGCGCTCCCAGCGCCGCACTCTCCTGAGTGCGCCACGGGCTCGGCCCCATAGTGGGAGATTTTAACTCACCTCTTTCAATAACTGATAGAGAAAAGACATATGCAAAGATAGTGAAGATTTGAACAGTACAATTAGCACATTTACCCCAGTGGCCATCAACAGACCCCTGGACCCCACAACCACAGAGACACCCAGCAGAGGTGGAAGGGCAGGGCTGTGGCGGGGAGGAAGACTAGAGTCAAGGATGATTCAGCCTTTGGGCTAAGGCCCCTGGATGGATGATGATGCTGTATCTAGTCATTTTATTTAGCCCAGAACTGTTGACCACTTACTAGAAAAGGAAAAAATAAAATAAAAAGTTGAGGTAGGTGTCACAAGCTAAGAGTTGGGAGAAGGAATGCAAAAATAATTACTATTATAATTTATTGAGTGCCTTCTACGTGGTAGGCACTGTGCTAGGTGCTTTATTTTAATTAGCACTAATTCTCACTATAACCTTTTAATGTGGTTATTATCTCCGTCATATAGATGGGGAAACTGAGGCTCAGAGAGGTAAAATAAATTGAACATGATACTGTCGCTATCCTTAGAGGAGCATAAAAGACCTTAGGAGGAAAAACAAGTACACAACCCTTCAATGGAAAGATAAAGATAGGGAGTATGGGCTTAGAACAGGAAGCTTCCAGTCTCGCAGGCAGAGCCCTCGGGTCCCAGCGAGGCCAGGCAGGCCCAGAGATGGGGACAGGGAGGGTTCAGAGTCCACATGAGTCGGGATCCTCTTAGGATGGATTTCCCAGTCAGTTCTAAGGTAGACTTGCCTCCAGAAAGGGCCTAGCCAGCACCCCGTGGGCAGTGTCCTGGGCTCATGCCAGGAAACTGGTTGTGGTCCCAGCCTCAAGGCACTCACAGGCCAGAAAAAGCAAGGTGACCAGTGCCAGTGTGAATTTTCTTCCTAAATATGGGCTTATAGTTAGTATGGGCATTGGGGCACAGGCATAAAGATAATAGAAATCAAGATGAATTCCTCATGGGTTCTGTTTCTCTCTGACCTATCCTAAGTCCTTGATTCTGACCAAACAGTTCTGAAGTTGTCCACTCCAGGGGCCCCCATTTCAGAGGCTGTTGCAAGCCCAAAACGATCACCTTTCTCCTCCCACCTTATTGCCATGGATGCTGTCCCTTTAAACCACAGTTCAAGGATACCTCCTCCAGGAAGCTCCCCAGATTGATCTGCCTCACTCTCCCCACTCTGTCATTCTTTCCCAAAGGCTGTGCTCCTCCTTCCTCTAAAGTGACCAGGCCTTCTCCCTTCTCAGTTCCAGGTCCCCCTGCTGGCATCAAAGCTGTCCCTTCATCACCTAGCAGTGTGGTTGTGTCTTGGCTCCCCCCAACCAAGCCCAATGGGGTGATCCGCAAGTACACCATCTTCTGCTCCAGCCCGGGGTCTGGCCAACCGGTAAGTGAGATCAGAGCCATATGATGAGGGGGACAGGAGAAAAGAAAAAGTAGCTTGTAGATCAGCTGGCTTCATAGGACTGCTTATATCTGCACTTCTACCTGGATTCATAGATAAGAATGGGCACTGTCACCCCAAAGGGACCAAAGCCTTACCCTGTGTCCATCTTGGGTCAGTCCTCTGTTCAAGAGGCTGCAAAAGTGTCACAAGCCTAGAGGCTCCTTAGAGTCAAGTAGCTCATGACCAAGCAGGCAGGGCAGTCCACTGGTCTGGCTGACCAGGGAAACTCCTAGCAGACTATTGACTGGGGACTGGCTGGTCCATAGCCTCTGGAAATGAATCACCTTTCAGCATGGTCAGTCTGGGCTGGGAGGTGCTGCTGGAGCTCTGCCCTGAGTGACCACCGCAGCCTGGAGCCAGCTGAAGGGAGGAGGGAAGATGGGGGACAGCCGAGAGAAGGCAAAGGCATCTCTGTGGGCTGGGGCCTGGGCCCAGGTGAAGAGAGAGGACTGAGAAGCTGCAACATCTGTCCAAACCCAGGGAGCAGATGGGCTGGCCCGCAGGCTGGACACAGGCATGGGGCTAGCCCTAGCCCTTCCGCTGAGTGCTCAGAGCCACCCCACAGAGAGGAAAGAGAGGATGGTGTGAGTGCCGTGGGATACACACCCCCACCCCATAATATGCATCCCTCCCTCTCGCCTCTTTCCTTCATTATCTCCAGCCACTCCAACAAAAGTCCTGCTGAGTGACTGCTCTAGAGCATGTCTGTGCTACACCTGTCCTCAAGGGGCATCCAGTCTAGCGGCGGGCCGAGGGTGGCACGCTAGGGCGAGAGAATACTGTCAGGCAGATGTGCGCAGGGCTGGGGAGCAGGGGCAGGAGCGAGGCTGGCTTCTCCCTCCAGCAACAACTTGCCATCAGCCCGATATCTGCGGATGAGCTTTCGGCCGCCAGGAAAGCTGCCCTGAAATTGCTCGGTAATTGTGTCATCATCTCCTCCTGTACACTCTGCTTTCCTGTGGTCTTTGTGAATTACCCTCCGAGTGATGGGTGGCCCGCCTCCTTGCCGGTGAGGCCACAGTTCTATTACCAGAGGGAAGCCCACTGGCTCTGTCCCCTCCTCTCCATCCTCATGGCCACTTCACATGCAGCAAAGCACAACCCGCAACTGGGCAGCTCCATGGATTTTCACAACACACCCAGGGAGACACCACAACACCCCAGAAGACCCCCTTGTGCCCCTGCCAGTCACTACCTGCCCCCCCCCACCAGGGTACCCGCCATCCTGACTTCAGTAACACAGATCAGTGCTGCCTCTTTTTGTACTTGGCGTGTACGGAGTCATACCCTTTGTCTGGCTTCTTTTACTCAACATTATTTTGGATTTGTGAATTCTATCCACATTGCTGTGTGTGGTTACACATCACTCTCACATCTGTGTAGTTTTTGAGTGTGCGCATATATTACAATTTATTTATCCATGGTGCTTTGCGTTGATATCTGTCAATTGAAGGCCTTGGGGTAGTTTCCAGTTTGGGCCGTGCATGTGGTGCGGCTGTAACACTCTTGTGTGTTTCCTGGTGCTCATGTGCACGCATTTCTGTTGGGCGCATACCTAGGAGAGGAGGCACTGAGTCACAGGGTCTGCAGAGGTCAGTGAGAACACCCTGCCCTTGTTGGGTGCCTGTGCCAATCACAGCCCCTCCATGGGCGTAAGGTTGTTATTCAACATCTGCAGAGACACGTGGTATTTCCCAGTCAATGATTTCAGCTGTGTCTTCTGCCCCTTTTTCCCTGCCACACCCCTCACACACACGTGCACACACACATACACACAACCTAGGCTTTCGTGACACGAAGCTTTTCGCCATTAAGAACACCCGCCATGCCTCTCCACTCCTCCACACCTTTGCCCTGTCGATTCCTACTGTGGCATGCTCTTCACCTGTCACACACTGAATATGTTAGATCATGGCCACGCATCTGTCTCCTGCACTGGTCTCTGAGGCCCCATGAGGACAGGGGCAGCATCTTTTCATCTCTGGGTCACTGGCTTTGCAACACTGTGCCTGGAACATCATGGTCACTGAATACATGTTGGACGAATGAGGAAGTAGCAGTCTGGCAATTGTATAGCCTTAGACATTGGGCAAGTTTCCTTTTATAAGTTGATGGGAGAGGGTAGACATTCTCTAGCTTGGGTTTTTGCAGTCACTGTCTCCTCTGATAATGAAATCTTTCAGAAGGATTGGTGTCCAGGAGCCCAGCCTCCTCATTAACTCAGGCTTCAGGAGCTCGCAGCCAGTCGACTGGCCACAGAACAGAGCTCCTGGTCCCACCTCCGCCTCCCATTGCTGGAGACACTGGGAGCCTCCCACCATCCTCTTCATGGCCTGAGCATGCAGGAGCCTCCTCTCTCCTGGGGAGATTTCCCATCACACAGGGTCACACAAGGTCTGCCAATGTGACAAAACTTCAGTTCAGCCATATGGGGGGACAGGGGAGAGGAGGGAGGCTGAGCTTAGTGAGGGACCTGGGGACCTCACCACCATGCGTGACAAATATATTCCAAATTACAAACAACTGCATTACACTCATGTACGAGAGAGAGTTCTGGGGGAAGTGCTAGGGATGAGGGCACATTCGTGTCTAGGTGGGTGCAAAGCCGTGGGTGTGAGTGTGGAGTTGGAGGTGAATGCCTGAGACTGAGTGTGCTCTACATGCATGGGAGTGTATGACTAGGCACGGGGGGTGTCCTCAGAGTAGAAGGTGCCTATGGCCTTGGCCCTTGGGGAGTTGCTCCCTGGGGGTAGCCAGAGCTACACTGAATCCTGGTAAAATTTTACCAAATACTTTAATACACTTGTTTTTCTCTGGTTATAAAAATAATGCAATTTTATTATAGAAAATTCTGTAAAATATATAAAAGAGGAAAGAGGAAAGTAAAAATTATTTGTGCTCTTACTCCTTAAAGATAAACGCTGGTGATGTTTTAGTATATAACTTTCCAGTCTTTGATCTATGCATGTTATGGGGTTTTTGTTGTTGTTGTCTTACAAATTAAAATAAAATTTTACATGGTGTTATATAACCTGCTTCTTTCATGTAATATATGCAGGCACTTTGCCACACCATCAAATATTCTTCTAAAACACGATCGTGAATGGCCATTTATACATAATCTATTTAACCAGTCCCTTATTATTCTATGTTTAATGTATCTTTCAAATTTTCACCACTATAAATAATGCTTTCGTGAACATTTTTACAAAAGTCTTTATGCACATATTTTAATATTTTCTTAGGATAAATTTCTGTAGGAATTCCTGGGTCACAAAGAGTGTGAATATTCTTTTTTTTTTGGCAGCTGGCCAGTACAGGGATCTGAACCCTTAACCTTGGTGTTACAACACCTTGCTCTAACCAACTGAGCTAACTGGCCAGCCTAATGTGAATATTCCTAAGGTTCTGCATACATATTTACAAACTGCCCTTCAGAAAGTTTGCACCAACTTGTGTTTCCACCAGTATTGTAGGTACCTATGGTATGTGGACCACCAACATTGTCCTTTGCACCTATGCCGATCCCAGGTTTGTTCTTTATTTTGTTTTGTTTTCATTTTTGCCAGCTGGATTTTTTTTAAGTATTGTTTTAAATTACTTTTCTTTGATTACTGGTTAGCTTGATTTTTTATATGTTTATTGGCTATATTTTTCTTCTTTGGGTAATTGTCAACTTATGTCCTTTGTTTATTTTTCTATTTTGGCTGCTCATGTTGTTTTTCTTATTGATTTGTAAATGCTCTTTACATATTAAGGATAATAGCCATCTTCCATCACATAGTTGCAAGTATTTACCAGTTTATTGCTTGCCTTTGGGTTCTGTTTTTGATGTACCATAGTGTTTCTTCTTATAAAATTAGAATTTATAATCATTTTCATTTAGAATTTTTGTCTTATTTTTATAATTAGATAAGTATTTGCCTATAGTTTCTTCTTTTATAGTTTGCCTTTTTTTTTTAACCTTTGATCCATTGGACTTTATTTAGGGATATATATGGCTGTGTGTTTTCGAAAGTGATTTCGGGATATTAATGGGGTTTTAGTCAAGATGAAAAGGAAGGCACCTGGGATCTGGGTAAGATGCTAATACCTTCAAGGGAAAGCCAAACTTTCCTGCCCTTTGTAGGCACCAGTGTACACTCAGGTACACACTGACCCACACGAGCAAGTACACTCAACTTTTCTCCACAAATGCAAGTGCACACACACACACACACACACACACACACACACACACTCCAAAAATGAGCCCAGAGAAGAATGTGTCCTGGTTTACATAGGACTTGCACACCCCTTGCCTCACTGTGCCTCACAGTCACAGCACGGGGTAGGCAGAGCTGTACTGTTCCCCCAGTTTGCAGGAGAGAAAACAGAGGCCCCAGGAACCATGGGCAACACCATGGGCCCTATGCCTAGTGAGAAGAGCAGGCAGATGAAGCCACTACACCACCCTGTACCTCATGCACAGACATCAACTGCAGATACACACACCAGTTCCCAGAGTGATGTAGCCTGAAAGGGCTTCCCAAAGACCAGGGCTCTGTACCTGTCCCCAGCAGGGAGCCCCTGGATTCAAGGCCAGACAACGTAGGTAGAAGGAGGAGTCTGCTAGGGAGCTCTGTGTCTATTGTGGGAAGCCTATGCTGCTCCCTAACACTCCCCGGCAGACAGCCTCGGACCAAAAGGGATGTTTTCTCCTGTTATAAGTCATTGGGTACCTCAGCCTCCATTGGGGTATAGAGAATGTCCCTCTGTGACCCATATCTGTGTGCTCTGCCCTTCAGCACATGCGTGCATGCGTCTATATGTTGATGTGCATGTGTGTGCGTGTGCAAGGTCCCATGACTGCAGAGACATCTAATTATTAGCTCCCTCTGGCCTCGAGGCCCCCCATCTGTTCTGGGGTCTGCTCCCCCTCCCTGGACTTCTGCCCTGATTTCAAAGGGACCCTGGTGCTGTCCTCCTCTCCCTTCCCAACGGCTGACCAAAAAGTAAAATAAAATGAAAGTCAGCCCCATCCCGCCTGTACCAGGGAAGAGGCTGACAGGAGGTCTGCAAACTAGCGCTTATCAAAAGCTCCTTCTCAAATTCATTTCAATATCTGAGCCTCTGGTTTCCAAGGCAACATAATCTTTTCATCAAAGCAACTGGTAAAACCACTGGGATCTGATATTGTTTTGTTGGCAACTTGTCAAAATTGTCATTTGGTTAAAAAAATTTTATAGATTTACATAACCTACAAATATATATGCGATCTATACCACTAATAATCATTAATAAAGTGTTGCCCAGTAAAGCTTTCAGAGTTCCCTCCCCCAGATGGGTTTGCACCTGCAGAATGAAGGAGTGGTAATTAGACAGCAGGGCTGGGAGGTGACTGAGCCAGGGACAGGCTGGGGGAGCCTGTCTACAACCCTAATAAGGCAAACGCAGCAATTTGGCTTCTTCCCAGAGTTGCTCTTTTTCTCAGGGTTTTCCTGGGACCCTCCCTCCCCCATTCTCCTTCTCCTGACTCCCCCCATTCCTCACCCCAAACACACACATTGCCTGGCCTGGATCCACAGTTGCCAGAGCCTGGATCAGTCAAAGAGGTAAACTGAGGCTGACCTAGCAACACCACAGAGCAGGCCTATCAGTTCCCAGGGGCTAAGCCCAGCACAGACTCTCTCCACCGCTGCTCTGAAACTTGGAAAGGGTGAGCTGGACAGAATCCTGGCCCCCGCCAGACTCACTATCCCTCCTCTGAGCCCAGGGCACTAAGGAAGACTCGGAGGCTGGAGGCCCAAGGGCCTTGGCTCTGCTGCTTAGTGCCCCTGCACCTCTGCCCTGCAGGCTCCCAGCGAGTATGAGACGAGTCCAGAGCAGCTCTTCTACCGGATCGCCCACCTAAACCGCGGGCAGCAGTACTTGCTGTGGGTGGCCGCCGTCACCTCTGCTGGCCGGGGCAACGGCAGTGAGAAGGTCACCATAGAGCCTGCCGGCAAGGGTGAGAAGCCTGGGACTGGGGGCAGAGGAACTTCCAGAAGCTCCTTTCTAGAATTCTGATTCTCCCCCAATAGGGACTCTCTCCCCTCCACCCTATCTGTGACCTGGCTGTGGGCAGCTGGCCACTCACCTCCCTCCTGCGTCCACCAAGCCTGGGCCTCTGCTGCCCCCTGACTCCAGGAAAGCTTCATAACAGGCTGCAGCCAGCACACTGCCCGGGCCGTGGTCAAGGTGCTCCTGGTTCCTCCACTGCAAACCCTACTCCTGGCTGGAAAGAAAGGGGTCACCCCCACCCCCAACCCAAAGCTAAGACCTTGGCCCAATGCTCAGCTCCTCCAGAGGGAGCTGCGGCAGGGTACACCGCTTCCACAGAGCAGTTGAGCCTCAGAAGAGAGCGCCCCACACTGAAGCCTGCACACCTCAGGCAGAGGCGGATCTGCCGATTGCTGATTCGTTCAATCAGCAGACATTTACAGAGAGCATGTTGAGAAAGAGGCTCTGGGTGAGGCAAAGACCTTCTAGGGCGTGCCCCACTGACCTGGACCAGAGTGTGGCTTGGGGGCGCAGCCCACTTTTCAGGGGAATGGCAGTTCTGAGGCCTCAACCCAAGATCAAGACGGGGCAGCCACGCAGGTGGAGCTGCCAGGCCATGGGGCTGTCCCAACCCTGGGGCATAGGAATTGACCACAACGAGGCCAGGACTATAGATCTTCTACTTGACTGGGTTTCCCTGGGCCCTTCCACTTGCCCCGTCTCCTCCTCCAGCCATGACTTACCCTCCTGACTCTCTAGTCCTGGGGTCCCAGGGCCCAGGTGAGGATGGAGCGGTGCCTGCTCAGCCCAGCCACCCTTCCTGGGGTGACTTGAACTTCCCTTGGTTCAGGCACAAGAGGCATCAACCCTACCCTGCTGCAGGCTCAGGGCCAGCCAGCACCTAACTGAGGGCCTATGGTGGGCCAGGGGCTTCCACCTGCTCTGCCAGCAGGGTTGGTTGTCCCAGTCTGCAGTTGGACAGTCTGTGACAGGAGTGGCATGGCCTGCAAAGACAGTTGGGAAGTGGTGGGCTGCTCTCCTCGCTCCAAGTCAGGGCTCTCTCCACATGGCCTCAGCACATCTTACCTCCCCTTGTCCTTCCTCCGGGGCACTATCAACCCCTTCTCTGGAACTCATCTCCCTCAGGAGGGAAGGGGCCTAGAGTCCACCATCCCCCTAGGACAGACAGCTGGCACCGGCCCAGAGGCAGGGGTCCAAGGGCGTGGGTGTCTTGGCAGAAGCTTGCCTTCTGCTCCCTTAAATACTCATGTAACAGATTGCTAGAGGGCTTTGTACTTCCTACAACATATTTACACATCTTTCCCCCACAGCTACCCAGCGAGGTAGGGGAGACAAGCACTGCCGTCCCCCTTCCCCATCTCACACATGCATACACACTCACACACACGTCCACACACTCACACATACACACCAGACATACCCATACATACACTTGCATATACACACACATTCCCATGCATACATACGCACTAACATATACATACAGATTTTCATCCATACACAGTCGCACACATACACATATGTGCACACAAATGCATACGCACACACATGTAGCTACACAGCATGCACACACACATACACATACACACTCACATTCACACACACAAGCTGAGACACACAGAGGTTCAGGAAGCCAACCCCAGCCCTGTGGCAGAACCAGGTCTGGAACGCATGCACACACACATACACATACACACTCACATTCACACACACAAGCTGAGACACACAGAGGCTCAGGAAGCCAACCCCAGCCCTGTGGCAGAACCAGGTCTGGAACGGGGTCTCTGGAGAACTGTCCACTGCCCGTGAGGCCCCCTAGGCTTCCCTCTGCCCTGCCCATCTGTCTGGCCACTGGTGGCCCCCACTGTCCCAAGCGGCCCCTCTCCCCCCCCTCAGCAGCTCCCCCAGGCCTTGTCTACTCTCCAGGAGCCCCATCGCCCCTGGCACTGCCCTCACCAGAGATCAGACCCCGGCCCTGCACAAGCCTCTCAACTGCCCTCCACTCACCCATTAACTTCCCTCTGCCCAAGAAGGGCCCCGGCTTGTGGGCTGGCTCTGCCCTCTGAGGCACTTGGTCGCTGGGCTCCTTTAAATCAGCCTGGCACTCACCTTCTCACTGGCCTTCTGTGATGCTGCTTACATGGCGTTCCTCTGCCTTTCTCAGAGACATTCCTTTCCTCTCCTCTGCCCATGCGCTTTTGACCTCAGGATTGTGTGGCTTCTCTGTCAGTCTGTGTCCCGTCCTGGTAGCTGCATCACTCCTGCCAGTGCCTCCCAAATTGGTGTCTCTGGTCCAGACCTCCCTCTTACTCTCCAGAACAGGGACACCAGTACATTCCAGCTACCCCACAGGGGTCCCACCAGTGTTTTGGGTTGGGCATGAGGCAGAGTCTTCCAGTCTCTCCTGCCAAACCCACCCCTCCTCCTTGAGCCTCGTCTCCATGAGGGCACCATTGTACAGCTGGCTGACCCAGCCAGCGCCACGGAGGCCTCCTCACCTCCCCCCATCTCTTCCCAAAACCAAACAGATCCCAGGTCCTGTCGGTTCTTCTTCTGAGCCCCTGACCTCCTGCCACTGCCACACATCACTAGCACTGTGGCCACCATCTTGTCCTTCGGACCACTGCCACCAAACCACCTCTGCAGGCAGCAGTGGATTTGTCTGATCTGCATTGGAGCATGTCACTAGTAACTTATCAGCCTCAGGGGCTTCCTGGAGAGGACGTCCAACCTCTGTTCTGCCAGCAGAGCCTTCCATGATCCACTCTTGCCCATCCCCCTTGACTCACCCTGAGCATCGGGACCCCGGGGTCACACTTGCCAGCTGCTGCTGGCCTCCGTGTCCCACTCAGTGCTGTTCCCTCTTCCTGATGCGCCTTTCCTTCTCTGCATAGTGAACTTCTTCTTAGCCTTCAAGTCAGAGCTTCCAATTCCAGAAGCCTGTCCCTGCCAGCACCCACTTAGCAGAGCACCTGCTCGTCCTGCGTGCTCCCTCCACGCCAGTACCTACCCCACCGCAGTGTGATGCACCCTGTAATGATTTTTTCTTTTTAAGTATCTGTCTCCCTCTTGGACACTGAGCAACTTGAGGACAAGGACTAGATTTTGTTCATTTCTTGAATCCTCAAAGCCTTGTGTGATACCTGCCCCATAGTTGGTACTCGATAAATGTCTGTTGACTCAATGACTCACAGCTGAAATTCCCTGACACCCACCCCCCACCCCAGCCCAAGGTGGAGGTCAGGTAGGGGAGCGGGGACTTGAACTGTAAATCTGGGGAGCCCTGAGAAAGTGTCCAGGGGTAGAAATGGGGTGGCCCTCATCCTCTCTTCCCTGTAGCCCCAGCAAAGATCATCTCATTTGGGGGCACCGTGACGACACCCTGGATGAAAGACGTCCGACTGCCATGCAATTCAGTGGGAGATCCAGCCCCTGCTGTGAAGTGGACCAAGGACAGGTGTGTGGTGGGACCCTGGAGGGATGGAGTGACCCAGAGGGGGTACAGTAGAAGAGTCATGATGAGGAGAGATGGGTGTCCCTCCCTTCCAGCTGACTCGGGGGCCTCCAGGCTTCTGGAGGTTCGGGATACATGGACACTGCTCTCACAAGCAGGCCTGGCCTCCCTGGCCCCTCTCTGTGGGGAGCCAAGGACCTCCCTTCTCTGAGTGGTTGAAGAGGCCAAGGTTGCTGGATACCCCCAGAAGTGCTGAGCAAGCCCCAAGAACCCAGGGTTCCCTGCAAGCCCCCTTCCACCTGCAGCCTCACTTGCCTACACACCTGGGGGAGGGCCAGCACGAGGGGTGTTTGCCATAACCCATCCTGCCCCCTTGTCCTGGCAGTGAAGACTCAGCCATCCCTGTGTCCATGGACGGGCACCGGCTCATCCACACCAACGGCACGCTGCTGCTGCGTGCAGTGAAGGCGGAGGACTCGGGCTACTACACCTGCACGGCCACCAACACTGGTGGCTTTGACACCATCATCGTCAACCTTCTGGTGCAAGGTGAGACACTGCAAGGCAGGTGGCTTGGGCAGGGACGGGGATAGAGGAGGGGTAGGAATTCCATCAAGTGAGAGCAAGGGCTATTGAATGGAAGAAAAAGACACACTGCGGTGGAGACAGGCCCTTTGCGGAACAGGGTGCAAATGGAAGGGGGGCAGGAGGCTGGACAGGAGAATGAGCAGGAGTGGGGGACATGCCCAGGACCGGGAAGAGCCGGTACCTTCCCTCCTGCTAGGGCGTTCCCCCACACCCCTGTCTGTCCGCGGAGTTAACCCTTTGTGCTGAGGGCTGGTGGCCTTCCCCTCACAGTTCCCCCGGACCAGCCCCGCCTCACTGTCTCCAAAACCTCAGCTTCGTCCATCACCCTGACCTGGATTCCAGGGGACAATGGGGGAAGTTCCATCCGAGGTGAGGAGTGGTCTGGACAAGAAGGGGAAAACGGGAAGGAATTCTGGGCCCCAGGGCAGAGGAAGGGCTTCACCACTCCTGCCATTTGTCCCTGTAACACCCAAGAAATGATGGAGGTAGTGATTCTGCCACAGGAGGTCACCAGGTGCCATGGCAAGTGCACTGGCCTGGGTGTCTGGGTTTGAGTATGCCCCCCGGCCCCTTGCCATTTGTGAGCTGTGTGGACCTGAAGAATCCTTTCCTCTCTGGGCCTCAGTTTCCCAATCTGTCAAAGTGGACAAACATACAGGATCAGTGCTTCTCAAGCTTGAATGTGAATATGAATCACCAGAGAATCTTGTAAAAATGCAGATTCCAATTCAGAAGGTCTAGGGTCAGGCTGAGAATTTGCATTTCTCACAAGCTCCCAGGTAATGCTGACACTGCTGGTCAGGGGACCACATGAAGTAATAAGGTTCTAAATCATATCCCTTTTAAGCCTCACAACACTGGTTTCCTACTCCCCTCCCCCACCTTGGCTACTAAACCCTAACACTAGAGCTAAAGAGAGAAAGCAGGACCAGGGACTGGACCCAGGTCGTTCCTGTTTTGCATCTGATTTGCATGTGCCCCCTCCCAATGGCCAAGGGCTCGACTCTGTCCCCTGCCTGGGGCCAGTCCCCACACGACGCCTATTGGGGTGTCCCGGGCTGGGCTTCTGCTGCCCCACCCTGCACCCCCCTGAGCCAGGCAAACCCCCGACAGGCTTCGTGCTGCAGTACTCGGTGGACAACAGTGAGGAGTGGAAGGATGTGTTCATCAGCTCGAGTGAGCGGTCCTTCAAGCTGGACAGCCTCAAGTGTGGCACGTGGTACAAGGTGAAGCTGGCGGCCAAGAACAGCGTGGGCTCTGGGCGCATCAGCGAGATCATCGAGGCCAAGACCCACGGGCGGGGTGAGGCCCACGGGTGGGGTGGGGATGGAGAGACCGGCCCAGGGAGGAGGCAGGTGCGGTGCAGGGGCCCAGGGTATGGGGATGGAAGACAGCTGAGATGGGGAAGGAGAGGCCCAGGGATGCAGGGAGGCTGAAGGGAGGAGACCCAGCGTCGTCCCCATCAATAGAGTATCTCAATGAATCGCGTTAGGAAAAACTGCCCCATTTCCCCTACAGGGTGGCAGAGGGTGGCACTCCCTTCTTCCCCACTCTCTCTTCCTCCTCTGCTGAAGCCTCTCTCCAGGTCCTTCCATCTCTTCCCTCTTTTCCCTCTCCTCCTCTTCCTCCTCTGCTCCCCCAGGCATCCCCACTCACATTTGTGTCAACCACTGATCCCCTGGAGGCACCACAGTCCCAGCTGCCCCAGGGAAATCCTTTCCAGCCCAGACAAATCCCCCCTCCCCCTCAGTCTGTCTCTCTAACCTCTTTCTCTCCCTCTGGTCCCCCAGAGCCCTCCTTCAGCAAAGACCAACACCTCTTCACCCACATCAACTCCACGCATGCTCGGCTTAACCTGCAGGGCTGGAACAACGGGGGCTGCCCTATCACAGCCATTGTCCTGGAGTACCGGCCCAAGGGGACCTGGGCCTGGCAGGGCCTCCGGGCCAACAGCTCCGGGGAGGTGTTTCTGACCGAACTGCGAGAGGCCACGTGGTACGAGCTACGCATGAGGGCTTGCAACAGTGCTGGCTGCGGCAACGAGACTGCCCAGTTTGCCACCCTGGACTACGATGGCAGTGAGTCAGAAGGGTGGGAGGGGCAGCACAGGGGCCAGAGCAGTGTGGTGCCAGGGAAGCTGGCAGAGTGGCAGGCACACAGACAGACAAATAGGAAGGAGTACAGTCAGGGGAGAGGCTGACAGACTGGGGAAGGGCAGATGGGCAAATGGGCAGATGCACCAGTGGCCAGTACAGACAGACAGACAGGCAAACTAAAGATGGAGCATCTCTGAAGGTGCAAGCTCCCACTGCTTCAGGGAAATGAAGAGGAAGACGGCGATGTAGGTGAGGTCCTGCTCTCTATGAACTATCAGCCAGGATGGGATAGCCTGTGCTGTGATAACAAAGACTAAAAGCTTGGTGGCTTAACCCAATAAAGATTTGTTTCTTGCTCTCATGAAGTCCTGTGACGGTTGGCTGGCCACCATCATTTAGATATGCCATCTTGAACACCGAGCCTCCAAGGTCACCAGAGGTAGAAAAGGCACACCAGTTCTTCACTGCCTTGGCCAGGAGGTGGCGCTCAGCCCTTCTGTTCACACTTGTCTAGAACTAGTCACGAGGTTCTAATCTAACTGCAAGGAAGTCTGGGAAATACATAAACATGTGGATATTTGGTGAGCACTTAACTGATGTCTGCCGCATGGGGATACCTCACACACATGCACACATACACACACATGCACACAGATAAACGTTAAAGGCACATAGAAGACTGAATTCAAAGAGACCCATTGTCACAAGCTAAATCCACCTATGTGTTAAGGAAACAGAATAAAAGCAGTATCAGAAGGGGAAGGGCTCAAACAGAAGGCTTCGTGAAGAAGATGACTCTTAAGCAAAGCTCTAAGAACAGACAAGGACCAGGGCTTGGCAGAGGATTATGTCAGCAGGAGAGTTTAGCATTGCCTCCCTGCAGGCACCCAAGATTAGCAGATTTTGTCCACAGGACGAGGAGCCGGGAAAGAATGCAGGGTTTTTAGTGGTCTTTGTCCCTATGAGGGAAAGAGAACCCAGGATCCACTCCCCTGACTTCTCCCTACTGTGTTTCTCCTTTGCCCCCCACCCCCCACCCCATGCCCCTATGGATATGGGAATGTAATCCACCCTCTAGGAATGAACACCGAACTCCAGCAGGCAGGAGACTGACTAACTCTGAGAGACTTCGGGCTAATTCTAAAACAGGACCAGGAGGTCATTAATAAAATGCAACGTAAAAACTACACAACTGTTCATGGCTGTTCTGATGAGACCAGAATGTGGGGGAGCAGAGGGGGGAGGGTCGGGCTCTGCGCCAGGATGTAGAGGTCAGAGATCAAGGACAGCACAAGAGGCCAGAGCGCTTCCCCATCCATGGGACTCTGCACAGCACTTGGCTCATAGGGACCTCTGATTCCCTTCTTTACCCCCATTCAGGCACCATCCCACCCATCAAGTCTGCTCAAGGTGAAGGCGATGATGTGAAGAAGCTGTTCACCATCGGCTGCCCGGTCATTCTGGCCACGCTGGGGGTGGCCTTGCTCTTCATTGTACGCAAGAAGAGAAAGGAGAAGCGGCTGAAGCGGCTCCGAGGTGGGGGAGTTTCCTACGGGCTTCCCAGGAGGGGTGTTGACTCATTTACACTGGCCACCCTCCATTGAGAACACCATCTGGATGAGAGAGAGTGCCTGTGTCCCCTTAAAGGAAGAGCTGCCACGCAAACCCTCTGAAGCCTACTTACTTATGTACTGCCCCCAGGACTTTGTGCCTGCCCCAACCAGGGCTAACATTTAGAGGCACACACTGGTAAAGCCACGTTGTTAAGATATTTAAACATTTCCATGTTGGTTGGTAAATAGATGCTGCTTCCTTCCACCTTGGATGCTCATTCTCTCACAAAAGATCTCCGTGGCTTTCCTAGGATCCATCCACTAAAGAGTAGACCTGCAGGTGGTCTCAGGGACCCTGCTCGGTTCTGACTGAGCAGTTTCCATGTCATGTCAGGCGTTAAATATTTTGAATATCATCCCCTTTTCCAACACCTGATACTACAGCCTGGCATGAATGGGTCTGATTCACCTCGATTTTCAGTAGGCCTAACTAGGAGTCTGGAACCTACAACTTGCTTCATAAATGTTTGTTCACTCATTTGGAAAACATTTATTGAATCTGCTGCATTGTAAATGCTACCAGATGTTAGTCATATAGAGATTAATGAAGAAGAGACAGCTCATCCCTTATAGAGTTCATAGTCTAATGTGAAAAGCCAGGAGACAATTGTAGCACAGAAGAGGGAATGTCTAATGCTCCCCAGGTGTTCAGAATTCGGTGGATGGATGAATGCACAGTTCAATAGATGGTTGGATGGTGGATGGATGGATGGATGAATGGGTAGGTGGATGACTGGTCAGATGAGTAGTTATGTGGTTGGATGGATGGTTGAATGAACAAGATTGGACAGATAGATGGTTGGATGGATGGACGGATGGATTGTTGAATGGATATATAATGTCTGATTGTGTGAACAGTTGGATAGATGGGTGAATGATTGACTGGATGCTTTGATGGATGGATAGATGAATGGATGGAAATTTTGTGGTATAAATGGATGACATGATGGATGGATGGTTGTATGGTTGGATGAAAGAATTGTTGGAATGGTGGGATGACAATGACTGAAGAATGCTTGGATGGATGGGTAGGTGGATGGTAGTATGGATGGTTGAATGGATACTGGATATATAAATGGAAGGATGAATGGGTGGATGGTTGGATAGTTGGATAGATGGTTGGATGGATGGATAAATGACTAGTTGAATAGGTGGATAATGAATGAATGATTGGATGGATGAATGGATAATTGGATGGATGGGTGGACAGATGGTTGAATGGATGGATGGTTGAATGGATGGATGGTTGAATGGGTAGACGATGGATAAATGGATGGGTGGGTGGATGGCTGGATAGGATGGTTGGATAGATGAATGGATGGATATATCGTTGAACGCATGTATACAGCTATAAGGATTCACTCTAACTATAAGGATCATTCTCAGTTATCAGGGATCTAATGGATTAACTAAGCCCTTTGATTCTCCTCTCTTCCAAGTTTCTAACCTGAAAGTTCTGATCCTATTTAAGGCTTCTCTGAAACAAAGCAGGGACTCCCAAATCCATCCATGGACTTTTTGAGGACAGATGCCTTAGAAGAAGAAGTGAGCCTCTTGGTTGATAAGAGAGTTTAGTCATCTGGGCTACCCATTCACCACCTCTACTTCATATTCCACTGTCTATTTTCCCAACAGATAACTGAGGATAGACCTTCCACTGATGCCCATTTCCAGCCTGCTATGGTGTCTTGTTTAATTAGTCAATTCATGAAGCAGATGGAGCATTTGCTATGCCCCCTCTCCTTCAGGAAGAGCCTCCCTGTTAGATAAAAATCTGAGGATAGGAAAACAGACCTGAGCCAAATCCTGAATTGGGAGCAGTGAAACCTCATCATGTTTTAGGTGGTTTTGCAGGTCTCTACATTTCTCCCCCTGCCTCTTGGGAGACCAGCCCTGGCCCCATTTTGGGCAATTCTCCCACCTTGTTCCCCTGCCTCTTCCAATTGTCATCCTGCTCAAACTCCATTCTCACCCAGGCCCCTCTCTCTACTGTTTTGCAGATGCAAAGAGTTTGGCAGAAATGTTGATAAGGTAGGTATCACATTGCTGCTTCCTCCCTCCTCCCCTCCCCCTTCCACCCTGCAGGGGACACAGGAGCCTCTCTCTGTACTCCCAGAGTAGGAGACAGGCTTCTAAGATCTCACTGTCCTGCAAAGCCCCCTCCCCCAATCCCTTATGGCTGCTGAGCCACCCATCTCCAGTCCTTCTCCCCACAGCAAGAACAACCGAAGCTTTGACACCCCTGTGAAAGGCCCACCCCAGGGCCCACGGCTACACATTGACATCCCCAGGGTTCAGCTTCTTATCGAGGACAAGGAGGGCATCAAGCAGCTGGGTGAGTGACACATGACATGATCTCTCTGTCGTGCTCTGGGTCTGCTTCTCCCTGCCACAACCCATGGAGGGCAGCCACCAGCCCTCACAGCAGTGCCCAGGGCTCCAGCAGCAGCCCCATCAACAATTCAACAACCTTGGAACTCACTGAAGCTTCTTTCAAGGGCTAAGATTCCTCTTCTTTCCAATGGGGAGAATTGCTGGCCTTTCTGGGACTCAACATTGGATAAAGACAAAGAGAAATTTGGGAAGGACTCCTGGTGATTGCCCTTCTTCCCCCAGGAGATGACAAGGCCACCATTCCTGTGACGGATGCTGAGTTCAGCCAAGCTGTCAACCCGCAGAGCTTTTGTACTGGTGTCTCCTTGCACCACCCAGCCCTCATCCAGAGCACAGGACCCCTCATCGACATGTCGGACATCCGGCCAGGAACCAGTATGCATGAGCCCCTCTTCTCACATAGGGTGTCTCAGGCACAGCATGGGGCTGAGGTGATAAAAAGAGGGAGGAGGGAGCAGGATGGAATGGAATGGAGGGATAGAAGGAGCACTGGAGTCAGAGTCTGGAGACCTGAACTTCAGACTTACTAGCTGTGACCTTGGGCGTATTGCTAACTTTTTCTCACTGTGCCTCAGTTTCCTTACCTAGAAAATTTGAGAGGGTTGGGTATTCTGGCTCTTCTGTAGACTTCTGACTCTAACACTGTGACTGTGGACACAGGGCTAGACTACATCAAGAACTGTGGGGGACTGATGGACAGTCAGGAGACAGCAAGATAGAACAACACATTCTTCCCTGGGGCAGAAGGAAAAGATGGGGTGGGTGGGGAGGACCAGGATGCCGTCCCTGTCCCCACACCTCAGCTCTGCTGCTCTTCTCCTCCGGGGCCAGCTATGAGGTCAGGAGGGCAGCATGGTCAGCATTCCCAGGGAGCTTCTGTGTCTGCTTCTGCTCCCTACTGCCCTTTCTGGTAAGTGCCAGCCACCTGAGCCCAAGTGCCCTCAGATGGAGGGTGCAATCTCACTTCCCTCTGTGCAGATCCAGTGTCTAGGAAGAATGTGAAGTCAGCCCACAGCACTCGGAACCGGTACTCGAGCCAGTGGACCCTGACCAAGTGCCAGGCCTCCACACCCGCCCGCACCCTCACCTCCGACTGGCGCACTGTGGGCTCCCAGCATGGTGTCACTGTCACTGAGAGTGACAGCTACAGTGCCAGCCTGTCCCAGGACACAGGTGTGCCTAGGGCCTTGCCCGCATCCTGCCCACCCTCCTCCAGTTCCCCATCATCTATTTCCACCTTCCATTCTTCCCAACTCCTACCTACCAGCTCCGGGGGTCCAAGGCACAAGTCAGTTTATTTCCAGCTGGCCACTGACTCACTGTGTAGCCAAGACAAAAAACACCTGAACTCACTGAATTCTGCTTAGTCAAGGAATTCATTTTTTTCTCCCAAAACACTATCAGAAAAAAATGGTGCAGAGGATGTTTGTGGAAGAAAGGGCTGACTGTTTTGGGGGTAGTTGCTTATTTTCAGGAATGAAAGAAGTTCTGCCCTTTATTAGCCTAAGATCCCACTTCTGCCACCACTACCACCTTCACTGAGGAAGAGCAGGATCTTCTGAGCCTGGTCCCCTCCATAGCCAGGCTTTCAGATGGCTGCTGGGGTTAGGGGTGGGGGAACTGCTCAGCCTGGTCTCATTTACACCCTTCTTCCCATTACCCACTCCTTTTCTCTTAACCCCGCACCTTCCATCTCCCCAGACAAAGGTCGGAACAGCATGGTATCTACGGAGAGTGCCTCTTCTACCTATGAGGAGCTGGCCCGAGCCTATGAGCACGCCAAGCTGGAGGAGCAGCTGCAGCATGCCAAGTTTGAGATAACTGAGTGCTTCATCTCCGACAGCTCCTCTGACCAGATGACCACAGGCACCAACGAGAACGCTGACAGCATGACGTCCATGAGCACACCCTCAGAGCCCGGCATCTGCCGCTTCACCTCCTCCCCACCCAAGCCCCAGGATGCTGACCGGGGCAAAAATGTGGCTGTGCCCATCCCTCACCGGGCCAACAAGAGTGAGTGCTCAGACCACCTCCCCTCCTGTGCCCCTGGCCCCCAGACCCATGAGCCCTAGTTAGAGATAGTGCTACCAACACCTGGATCCTGCTAGTTTGGCTCCTTGGCAGTGCAGGGTAGTGCAAAGAGCAAGGGCTTGGGAGCAAGCAGATCAGGGCCTACATTCTGGCTCAACCTCTTCATATCTCTGTGGCCTTGGGCAAGTCATTTAGCCTCTCTGGCCTTAATTTTCTCATTTACAGAATGCAAATGACAGTATCTACTTTGTATTGTCATAATAAGCATTACAAATTATATACATGCCTGACACATAGTAGGGTCTCATTAAGTAGTGATCACTCCCATAATCTAAAGCTATGCCAGGATGGAGAGATACCCCTATGGGGTCAGCTGCCCAATAGCCTCTGGTCTCAGTGCTATTTGAACTTAATCCAGACCCAAAGGATCAATCCTAGCATCTCAGCTCACGGTGGTCATAGCTCATGGTGGGCAGTGACCTGGCCTACCTAGAAACCACCTGGCCCCAGGAGCCTGGCCAGAGGTTGGTAGGGCAGGTCTAGGATTACCAGGGAGAGTCCATCAGCAAATATTGGGGTCACAGCATGCAAGGCCCACAGACTGTGGAACAATGTAGAGTCTGGTCTGCTTGGCACTAAGCATGCTAAGTGATCATGCTAACTGAGGGGGGTGGTCATCTAGGCAAGAAACTGGAGTAATCGAAAATACAAGGACATTGGAGACTAGTGGCCCTGAATGATATCCCCACCCCTTCTAGCTGAGTGAATTTGAGCAAATTATTTAATCTTTCTGAACCTCAGTTTCCTCACTTATAGGAATATCAGTTAATCACCGCAGGCAGATATGACCAATCCAGGGGGTTGTTGAGAAAAATCTAGGGAAAGTGCCTAGCACAGGATATCCCCACCCCTTCTAGCTGAGTGAATTTGAGCAAATTATTTAATCTTTCTGAACCTCACTTTCCTCACTTATAGGAATATCAGTTAATCACCGCAGGCAGATATGACCAATCCAGGGGGTTGTTGAGAAAAATCTAGGGAAAGTGCCTAGCACAGCTGACAGGTGATAGAGGCCCATTTACAGGTGGGGGTGCTCACAGGTCAGAGGGATCAGGATGTGGAGGCCCTAGACACATGTCATATGAAGGCAGTTTAAGAAACTAGGAACATTCCACCTGGAGAATAGGGGATCATGGGGGAGAGGGGGACATGTAGCTGGCTTCAAACATCTGGATGGCTGCTGTGGGAAAGAAGGGGACGTCTTGCTCTGTGAGTCCTCAGAGGACAGAGCCAGGCTCAATGGGGGAAGTGACAGGGAGTGAAATTCCTCTCCTGCTCAAGGAAAGAAAAGCTTTCTAACAGGCAGAGCTGCTGGGAAATCCTTGTCTTTACAAGTAGTGAGCTTTAGAAGTAGTGAGCTCTCTACCACCTGAAAGTAGTGATCACTGAACAATTAATATCAATTTATTGAGCAATTACTATATGTGCCAGCCACTGTATTACAGCACTTCACATACTTTATCTCATTCACTCTTCACAATATTCCTGTGGGGAAACATGACGATCTGCATTTCACAGATGAGGAAACTAAGGCTAGAGGGGTCAAATACCTGGTGGGGGGTCGGGGGTTGAACAATCTGTTTCCCAGAGGCCTCTGCTTCTAACGTCTTCTCCCCCTGTGATTCCAGGTGACTATTGCAACCTGCCCCTGTATGCCAAGTCGGAGGCCTTCTTCCGAAAGGCAGACGGACGCGAGCCCTGCCCCATGGTCCCACCCCGCGAGGCCTCCATCCGGAACCTGGCTCATGGGTGCAATATGAAATCCGCCATTTCAGTGGGAGTTGTTGATTCGATAAAACTTTATTTCTCACATATGCAACAGTCCAACGCAAATCCAGTTTCCTGAGCTGCTCGCCTCCAAACAATGACTCGGGTCCAGGCTACTTCCATCTCCCCCAGCTCTGCTCTTTCCTAAGTCCCTTCTCGTGGAAAGTGTTTAATGGCTCAGGCTGGAAGTGACTTATATCACTTCTTTCTACATCCCATTGGCTAGAGCTCAGTCACATGGCTCACCTAGCTGCAAGGGATACTGGGAAATGTAGTCCAGCCATGTGCCCAGGAGGAAAAGGAAAACATTTGGATTAAAAAACGATCCAGTCTGTGCCTGAATTATTATTGTCTTCACTATTTCTGTTATTATTCAGAACTAGTAGCTTTTTGAATATTTTCTCAAATCCTCACCCTTTGTCCCATCTCCAAAGAGAAACACTCCAAACAATTCCCCGTAAACAATAGGATCAGGTCCAATGCCTTTGGCCGAGCATTTCCAGAGTTCAAAATATGGTGCAATCAGTGGGATATGGGGTGTGGAAATGAACCTTGAAGATCATCCCCATTTTAGGACCTGAGGGAGGAGGCTAGGGGAAGGTGAGAGGCTCTGCCTGGCGTGGCTGGAAGGCTTCCTAAAAGAGGCATTGATGCTGTGGCTTTGAAAAAAGCACCCCACCCCCGCCGAGCCCCCTGCTGCCCCCAGCGCTGCCCCACCGGCCCCCAGCACCGAGCCTCCGCGGGGCGGGGGCCCACACACCAAAATGGGGGGCTCCAGGGACTCACTTCTCGAGATGAGCACGTCGGGGGTTGGGCGGTCTCAGAAGCAGGGGGCTGGGGCTTACTCCAAATCCTACACCCTGGTGTAGGGCACCAGCTTATGCTTGGACCTCCAGCACCTCCAGCCCTCACACCAACTTGGCTGTTTTCCTGCATTATTTATATTAAACTGACACACAAAAACCAAGCAACGACAAAAAAGAAAACCCCCAAGTCATGAACACTTGTACATAGAACTCTTTTGTACAAATGAAACTATTTTCTTCTTCTCCATGAAGCCAGGGCACAAAGAATTTGACAGTACAAGTCAAATCCCCCACCCCACAAAATATGTGTGGAGATATATATACATATATAGAGAGATGGGAACACATCAACGAGCTATATATCTATATGTTTCTCTCACCTTATTTTGAGAAAGGCACAAAGACTCAGCAATTTTTTCCCTCCTACTCACCCCCCTCCCATCTAGGTGGTTTTGACAAACACCAAAATCCCAACTCAGAGACACTGCATGCGATTTTACTGTTCCAAGAAAACCAGGAGTTGCTTCAATTTGCAGATGCTTATGTGTTAATACCTTTTTCTATGAAAAAAGACCCAGCGCCGTGTGCAATAAAGGTTATGTTTCTACGTGGTGGCTTTTTTCCCATCTGGCGAGGGCCAGTGGGGAGAGGGGAAAGACCCCTCTACCAGGCCGTCTGTGTCTCATGGAGAGACTTTGTGAGAAGCCTGGGCTTTTGCTCAGCACTTGAAGCTTTTTGAAAAGCCTTCAGTTAGCTGAGGTGCATCCGTGGACGCCTCTTCTGTTCTCAGATCTGTGCTGGGCTCTAAGGGGAGACTGCTGTGTGGCTTTGAGCAAGCTCCCAAACCCCTCTGAGCCACAGTTTCTTTACCTGTAAATTGAGGGATGCTTGAAGCTGATGAAACGAGGTAACCCTGGGAGAGTGTTGGGGATGCTGGGGTAGGGGAGGGGGTGTCAACTGGCTTCTCTATTCCGGACTGCTAGCAGTTATGTGAGTGGTGCCTGTAAAGTGGGAGCGGAAGGGAGAGGTTATATATACCTTGGGGATCAGGCCATGGCTTGAAGTCATGGGCTGACTGTTAGAGCAAGGTGAGGTCAGAGATCAGAGGGGAGAGATCATCAGAGGTGGGAGGGCTGAAAAGGGCTCAGGGAGGAAGGGAATGGAGCTCAGCCAAAGAGGAGCCAGAAGGCATGCCAGGTACCTCACCTGGTTTTGTTTTTTTTTTTCCTTTTTGTCTTTTTTCGTGTCCGGCAACCGATCGCAACCCTCGGTGTTGCTCCCACACCTCGCTCAGCCAGTGAGCGGGAACCGGTCTGTATGTGGGATCCGAACCCTCGGCGGGAGCGCCCCCGCGCTCCCAAGGGGCGCCCTGCGGCAGTGCGCCCCTTGGGAGCGCGGGGGCGCTCCCGCCGAGGGTTCAGATCCCACATACAGACCGGTTCCCGTTCACTGGCTGAGCGAGGGGTGGGAGCAACACCGAGGGTTGCGATCGGTTGCCGGACACGAAAAAAGACAAAAAGGAAAAAAAAAAAAAAAAAGGGCCGGCCCGGGGGCGCACTGCCGCAGGGCGCCCCTTGGGAGCGCGGGGGCGCTCCCGCCGAGGGTTCAGATCCCACATACAGACCGGTTCCCGTTCACTGGCTGAGCGAGGGGTGGGAGCAACACCGAGGGTTGCGATCGGTTGCCGGACACGAAAAAAGACAAAAAGGAAAAAAAAAAAAAAAAAGGGCCGGCCCGGGGGCGCACTGCCGCAGGGCGCCCCTTGGGAGCGGGGGGGGCCCCCCCCCCCCCCCAAGGGGCGCACTGCCGCAGTGCGCCACCGGGCCGGCCCTTTTTTTTTTTTTTTTTTTCCTGGTTTTGGAGTTGGCCACTAGACTGCCAGGTAGAAGGAAAGGTGTCCACATGGAGGAGCCGGCAAAGGGCTGTGGGTATGCAGAGGCACTGTTCCTGACGAGGGGGTCCAGAAGGTATTCCAGAGAGGCAGCATGGGGGCTGGGCATCCAAGGATGTGAAGGTTTCGTGACAGAGAGACCTAGGGCTGGAGACTAGCAAAAGCCCAGGGTCATGAAGTCTGTGTTATGGGGGACCCCTCCCTCCACCATGGTCAGGGCCGCTGGGTGGAAAGGCAGTGCACCCGAGAAGTGCAAGGGTCTCCTGGGTTGAGCACTCCACATGGAGGCTGAGTTGTGGATCATAATCTGGAAGGCAGGTGAGTCTGGACTTGCTGTTCTCCAGTGAGAGGAAGAACTAGGAAGGGGACTGAAGGACTGGAGAGGGAAGGACTGGTGCGGTATGCAGGTGGATCGTACCTGTTAGCCTGGGCCACAGTGAGACCCTGCCTGGGATGCATGGCCCTTAATAGAAGCACCTTCAAACAGCAACTCATTCCGCAAACATTCTCTGAGCACCTGGTGTGTGCAGGATGCAGAGGAGTCCTGCCCATGAATATCCACATTACCAGGTAAGAGCTCAGCATCTTAGAGGGGAGGGGCACAGATTCTGCACTCCTTGGTATTCCTAGGCTCATGGGAAAATGTTCATCTCAGTCCCCACACCCAACTAACAGCATTAGTGAAAACAAAGGTCCTGCATTCCAGACACCTGGTGACAGTCTAGCTTCGTTCCATCTCTGGGAGGATGGGATGCCTCCCGGGACTGCGCATGCCATCTGCAGTTCTCCACTGGAACTGCAGGCACAATGATCAAACCTAGCAGTTCTGCCTAGAACTTGACTAAGAGTGCCCCTTTCCCCACCCCCGCCCCCACTCGCCAGCATGCTGGACAATGGAGGAGCAAACGTGAATCAGACCCAACTCTGACCAGCACAAGGGAATGAACAACTCCCCAGAGACTACAGTGGGCAGAAGATGGAGCCACCTGCCCAAGGGCTGCAAAGGGGAACACTCAGGAAAATACATTACGGAGCCCGATGCCATGTGCCAGGTACTGAGCAAAACCATTCCTTACATTGGCTCCTGTACCTCATTGCAGCTTTAGGAGATAGGTATCACGATTTCTATTTGACATGTGAGAAAGATGGGTTTCCAGGAGTTAAGTCACTTATCTGAGGTTAGAGGAGCAAGACGAGATGGAGATGAGATTTAAACTCAGGGGTGTCTGATCCCTTAACTGCTGACCCATACTACCTGGTGATCCCTTATTCATAGTTTAAGTTTCAGATCTGCCCCAAAGATGTTGCCAGGTGAAGAGTCCTCCGGGGTCAGGTGAGCAGGTTGGACTTACAGGCAGGTAAGCAGTTGTTGTGCAGCTGTTCATAAACAGTTTAGGCAGGTGAGCCGACATGTAGGGCTGGATGGGTCGGGGAGCGCTGCTGTACTTTACTCTGGCAAGAACCAGTGGTAGAAGGGGAGGGATTCAGCTCTGGGGGGCTGTTGGAGAAGGCCTGGGACCTGAGGTGGACTGTGTAGGAGGAGAAGGATTTGGAGAAGCAACAGAAAAGCAAAACATGAGCCAGTTTTACTTGTGTTCATTTGAGGTGGGCCCTTGACCATAAAGCATGAGATGTGGAGATTTGGATAGACTTATGCAAAATCCACACGATTTTATTTGCTAATAACCTCTAACCTTGATATGTTCTTTAAACCACAAGCCTACCTATTTGAACCAGGCCTAGAAGCTAATTCACAAATCAGTGAAACTCCTGCTCCTTCCCATTTGTCCCCAGCTCATCATCACTGAGCTCTATTTATCTGGAGCTATCACCTCAAACATTTGCTTGCTCCTTTCTAGCCTTCACCTTGTCCATCACAGACAAGGCCACTGTCAGTCCTCAAGAGCCTTGATTCTCAAAGTGTGGTCTACGGAACAGCAGCATCAGGACCAGATTATTAGAAATGCAAAATCTCAGGCCTCACCCCAGAACCGCTGAATCAGAATTAACAAAATCCCCAGGAGATTAGATGCACATTAAAGTTTAAGAAGTCTTCCTCTGAAGATCTTCAGAGAGACCCCCTCTTGTACTCTGCTTCTACCAACAACCAGAGCTAGATTAGAGGTTCTCAAACTTAGCTACACATCGGACTCACCAGAGCAGCTTGTAAAAAATACAGAAGCCCAAGGCCGGCCCGTGGCTCACTTGGTAGAGTGCGGTGCTGATAACACCAAGGCCACGGGTTCGGATCCTATATAGGAACGGCCGGTTTGCTCACTGGCTGAGCGTGGTGCTGACAACACCAAGCCAAGGGTTGAGATCCCCTTACCGGTCATAAAAAAAAAAAAAAAAAAAATACAGAAGCCCAGATCTCACCAATGCTAACTGAATCAGAATTTGTTGGCACACAGCCAGGCATGTGTATTTTTATTGTGGTAACAGATACGTAAGATTTACCATTTTAAGCATTTTTAAGTATATAATTCAGCAGCATTAAGTACATTCACCTTGCACAACCATCACCACTATCCATTTCCGGAACTTTTTCATCATCCCAAAGAGAAACTCTGTACCTCTTAGTCAATAACCCCCATTCCTCCCTCTCCCAGCCCCTGGCAACCACTATTCTACTTGCTGTCTCTATGAATTTGCCTATTCTAAGTATCTCTCATAAATGGAATTATGCATTCTTTGTTATTTTGTGTCTGGCTTATTTACTTAGCATAATGTCGTCAAGGTTCATCCATGATATATCATATATCAGACATCCATTCCTGTTGAAGGATGAATAATATTCCATTGTATGTATGTACCACATTTTGTTTACCCATTCATCTGTTGGTGGACACTCGGGTTGTTACCACCTTTTGGCTACTGTGAATAATGCTGCTGTGAACATGGGTGTACAAGTGCCCGCTTGAGTCCTTGCTTTCAACACTTTTGGTTATACAGCCAGGAGTAGAGTTGCTGAATCATATGGTAATTCTATGTTTAACTTTCTGAACGACCAAACTTTTTTCCACCAGCCATTTGTGTTTTTAACAAGCGACATGAAACCCAAGCATTTCTTCGTTGGCCAAATAACCCAAAGCACTCCCTATGACCTGCCACTGAGCTAAGCTCTGGAGATGCAAATGCCCTGTGGGTGGGTCTCTTCCTGCCTTCAAGAGTCTCACTGTCTGGTATGTGTGCAAATTGGCAGAGGCCTAATGAGGGAAACCTGGGGGGAAAGGGACATGTTGTGGGTAGCCATCTGTCTGCCAAAGCCTCATGCTCCCTTTCACCTTGCACAGTTTTTGCTGGGAAGTGGCTGCCCCATCTGTGATGGAAGTTCCAGGCCCCCTGCCTTCTAAATGGGGCCATGACTCTTGAGTTCTTACTGGTGGAATATGGCAGAAGTGATCCAGGCTACTTTTGGGCCTGGCTCGTGAAAACCTCCCCAGCCACCCTCTTCTCTCTCCAACTGGATGTCAATGCCCAAGGTGAGCTTGGAAGCCACTTACTGAGGATGGCAGAGCCTCTATCAGCCTGGATTCACGTATAAGAGTACTTCCAGGGGCCGGCCCGGTGGCGCACTGCTACACTGAGGGTTGCGATCCATTGCCGGACACGAAAAAAGACAAAAAAAAAAAAAAAGAGTACTTCCAAAAGTTCATGGAAAAATAGAATTAAAAGATCATACAAAATTTTCCGTGAACTTTTTGAAGATCCCTCGT